CTAAAAAGTAACCGTTAAAAGTGTATGGCAGTTTATTTAAAAATCCTCGCTTAATTAAGCATGATCTTTCCTCGAAAACCTGAAGCCTGTCCATTGTTAGCTGTTAATTTTCTCTGATTCCATCCAAGTCCATTCGAGGCGAGATAACGCTTTAAATAGGATTATGATGTCCAAGGTCAATTCCGTGCCTCGAAAACAAGGGAGACGGCTGGTGGGTACAGACTTTGTTCATTTTGGTGTGGAATCATTGTTTGCGAGGAAGCTACAGGCGTGTATGAACGGAATTATCCTTTCATTTCCAAAACTGGGGGAATTAATCTATGTAAAGATGACATGCCGGAGCAGAGAGGGGGTGGGCCATGAGGTTTTGAGCCTTGTGCAAGGGGTGGGTCGTGCAATTTTCAGCTACCCTTAGGGGGTGGGTCACCCTATTTTTTTACATAGATAGGCACTAACTACTAACGAGACAGTTGACTACACTTGTTATATAAAACACAGCCAGCTGGAATTATTGCTAAAATACTCGCAAACCTGGTGTGCGAGAAAGTACAAAAGGGTGACAGGCCGCACATCTGTACGGGCGTGGAACCCTTAACCTTTTTTTTTTGTTGGCTCTGACAAGCATGTCCTTTAATGATTTTCTTTTTTTGTGAGGAAATGATTGGTGGTTCTTTAAAAATTTATTGAGGTTACAGTTGGTTTTGTATAAGATTCCATTTTTTCATTCAAGCTTCCTTTATACACTGAGGGCTGGTATTGTGTCCGGAATGGCAATATTTCTTTTTCTTCCTTGTTGTTTTGTTTTAGGAGTTTAGACTCCCTTTTGTGAATTTTATTTCTGATAGTACGTTTTCTATCAAAGATTGCGGGTAGCCTCCGTCCATCAAGCGTTATTTTTTAAATTTGAATTATTTTCCTCAAAGGTTGTTTCTGAGGAGTTTTTTCGTAGGATTCTAAAGGCTCCTTCTTTGACAAATCCTTTTTTAACATTTGGAGAGTGACACGAGGTGAAATGTGTGTGCAAGAAGGTTTGCCTTTGTTAAAAATGTGTCTTTACATCAAGGACAGATTTTTCCTTGAATCTTGTGCCTTTGTCTACAACCGTGTCTATAAAAACGCAGTCTCAGTGTCAAATGTTTCGGCCGTGAATTCAATAGTTGGGTGATGTAAGTTTGCTTGTTCAATGAAGGCTTCGATGTCTGGTTTACTCATGTCCCATAGGGCAAAGCTATCGTGCATGTAGCATTTGCACACAGTTAAGTTGTTCTAAAGACAGTTTTGCTTCGAGTTGTTGTTTCAATATATGTCATGAAAATATTGGCAAAGGAAACAAATCTGCTGTCTTTGTGCCCATTGCAGTTCCATGGTTTTGTAGATAGTGCTTTCCATTGAAGTGGAAGAAATTTTCTTTGAGGATCGATTAATCTAAGCATTTCCGGCAAGTAGTGTGTAGGAATGGATTGTCTTTGTAGAAATTTTCATATTATGCTTTGTGACAGACATTTTCAATATACCCTCGTTTTGCTGTATATTCGTGTCAAGACTCATGACGTCCATCGAAACAAGGAATGTTGAGTTTTTCACATTTGTCTTTTCAGTGAAAGGTATGATTTCTGTGATTTTGATATTGGTTGTAGCAGTGTATCAACAAATTTTGTCAAGCACAGAACAAGGTTTTATGGGATTATTAAGAGGAAACCAAACATCCATGTTTTAACTAGGAGGTGGGTCATGCAATTTCCAACCTTGCTTTAGGGGTGGGTCAGTCATTTTTGTGCCGTTGGGAGGGGGTGGGTCATGTTTTTTTTTATCAATCACATTTCCAAATGCTCCGGCCCACACACGCCCCCTATACTTTTTGACCGGTCCCTAATTACAAGTCATCTTTACTTTCAGCGATCTCTGATGGGTTTCCCTGGTATTCCAGGATCAAATGGTATACCGGGAGTGCCGGGCGTCCCGGGGCCACACGGACCCCAGGGAAGAGAAGGTGTAAAAGGACAAATTGGTGATAAGGGATCGCAAGGAATGCTGGGTCCAAGAGGAGACAGAGGGCGTGTAGGACCCCCTGGGAAGAGTGGACCCCAAGGAATTAAGGGAATGAAAGGTCAACAGGGACTTCTGGGAATGAAAGGAGAGCGAGGCATTGTGGGAATGAAAGGAAGAAAAGGAGACAAAGGAGAGAAAGGAGAAAGAAGTGTAGTACCACAAACCAACTGGAAACAATGTGTGTGGAAATGGACGAGCTATACTAATAACGGAAAGATTAAGGTAAATAGAATAAGAATCATAACACACTCCTAAGAAAATTCACTCCGTTTTAAATTAAATGTTTCAAAGAAGAACGTCTCCCCTCTCACTCACCGTTTGCCAGCACATTACATAAATAACTAAGTTACATTTCTTTCTACTTTGGTTCTTTTTTGAACGAAAAAAAGAAAACCATCGTGCGTGATAAAATGATTCCTGGCCATATGGATAAGGACAACGAAAATTTAAGCTATCACAGAGTTTTTAAAAAATTAGGAAGTAATCTTAACTGGAGTTGTTAGTATCAATCATTACACACGGTTGCTTGCCTTACTACAATATGTTTGATTTGTTTGATTTTATTCCAGGACTGTGCGTTTAACAAACTGCAGTCTAATTCAGCGCTCAAAGTCTCATTCCAGGGAAACATGATAGTCCAAGGTAGTTCTAAGTGTAATCGCTGGTATTTCAAGTTCAATGGAAACGAATGCAGTGGACCAATGACGATTGAGGCTGCTGTTTACAACTACTGGCCATCTGGGAACGCTTATCTGTATCATCATAGGTCATTTGAGGGGTACTGTGAAAACATCCCACAAGGCGCCGTTAGAGTGGAATTATGGGTAGGAAAGTGTAGTGGCCAAACCCTGGGTGATGGTGACACTGGGTGGAATTCAGTGTCCCGGATAATGATTGGAGAAGTATCTAGGCCCCAGTCCTAATGAGGGGAGTCTTTACCTTCAGCGCTGTTTCAATTTCCTTAGAATAGCATTCTACAAATATAGACTGTAAAGCGCAAGGTGCGAAAGTATTTTTTTTGGTTATATTCTTTTTAGCCCTTTGTGGTTACTTCCGTTGCATTAGATGGTCAACAGTAAACTATTATAACAGTATCATGATTTTGTATTATTATGTTGGCATGTTAGTCCTGTACAGCAGCTCTTTGTTTTGTCACGCTGCGCTTCTTTAGTTCCTTTGTGGGGAGGCACCTTTCGTGACGACATAATAATCGGCTGATCGAGCTCGTATTGAATTGATCTCCCTGACCATTCAGCCGTTTTGTCTTGTAACGTACCGCTCGTTCTCGTTCCGTGACGAGACAAAATGGCTGTGATTGAGAGTGATTGATTGGAAATGCTTTTTGTAGATGATATCTTATGGATGCAAAATATATCACTAAAGCTTCAGGGGAACCAATTCACTCTTGGCTTACCATTTATACCATCAGATTCTCGTTCATTTCGTATAAAGATGTAGTCAAAGTAAAGGTCGTGATATAATCTTTCACGTAAGCGAAAAAAAAAAATGCTGAAGAGGTAACCTTTGCATTTAAAATATTTCGAATGAAAAATCGTTAATTAAATCCGGAAGTGAAAATGATTTTTAAAATTAAATCGTTCTTTAATTAAATCACACTGCACGATTCCTTTTATAACCAAACCGCTTCGAGGGAAGACCATTATTAAAAAGGGATTAGAATTCGAGGATTAAAATCGCACCTCGAAAAATTTAAATCAATGAGCTATGAAGATGAATATGATTATAGGATAACTTGATTATCTTTAGCCTGCGTGGAAGGACTTCGAAATTAGGGAAAGGAAAGGGAGTCTAGGCGCGAGACCGCGCGCGAGGGAGAAGAGAGGAGAGGAAAGCGTTCCCCTTCCTCCTTTCTCGCGCGCCCTTAAGTGCTTCTCACGCACCTAAACCATTCCTTCCCTTTCCTTTCGAATGTCCAGCCACAGCGGAAAAAGAGGAATATGTGTTTACTCGTAACATTGAGATTCTTGTCAACAAACCTTCCCATTACTTAGATAGCATCTTTGTTATATTTCTTGCATGTCAGTGCAGTTTGCTTTTATGCGTGATTAAAGCTTTCAATAAAAGACAATCAGTCTAACAGTATGTACAAATCTTGTCCATTATTTTTCCTAACAAATAAGATCGAACTCATTATGTTTGCTCCTTAACAGAGATTTTCCCCGTACAGTCTCTCAATATTGATTTCAGTATCCAATGCAGCTATTTACAGACTTGTCTGTTCGATTGCGTTTATAAATAAAGACGTACCCAGTTATCAGGGTTTCTTAACCTAGATAATGGGAGGGGAGGACGTCACAATAACTTGGGGACCTAAATAATCAGTGCCGTATGCCCCGGTAGGGGAAAGCGTATGAGTATACCCGGTAGGAGATACCCTTACAGCAAGTTAGTCTCAGTAAGAATTTCCGTAAAGAGTACGGTTGTCTTTTATTTAGCAAGGCTTTTATTGCTTTGTACGTTTTCGTATACAGTGTACCATAAATTTCACGACTTTATCTTTTTTTCTATATTTTTGATGGTTTCGTAGAAAATACTTACACTTTTATCTCAGTCTGAGCACAACATCGACCACATAGGAGCTCCTCTGATTTTAAATCTAGCTCGGAGGAAACCTGAGGAGGATATGCCGATTCAATAAAGTTTGTGGTATAGAATAGGCGCCTTTGCCCAGTATATATGTAATATACCTTAAGTAAAGAAGGGAGATTAGCCTAGGCCCGGGGGAGGGGGAGGGGTACTCAAAAAATTTTTATACGGTTCCTAAGGTCCAACCCCTTACCCTTTTATATACCTTTTAGAACTTTGCATTCCTCAGTTTTGTCTGCTGTAAATGTACTGTCATTTGACTGGGAATTAATCACAAAAATAAAACGTTTTCTAAACTTTATAAAGCCATAAAATCCATCTGTTAGCCCTTTGGGCCCTTTAACAGACCCAAATGACAGATTTCTCTACCCTTTCGTATACTTCAAAGAGTAAAATCCCTACCCTTTCATAAACCTGAAGCCTGAAAAATGGACCCCTTTCGGACGGAGCCTCCCCGTATAGGCCATTTTAGGGAGTATCCCCTCCGGGAGCCTAGGCATCCAACCAGGTCACTTATAAACCCAAGGCTTCTATCAGTAGAAACACACATATTACAAGGTGATCATTGCATGTAAACCGCCTTTTACAATAACAAGAAGGCGCAACTATCACAGAATTGCATTTCTCTGTAGCCTACCCCAAAACTATAGTTTAAAGATCTATAATAAGTAAATTGGACCGTTCTAAATGAACAGAGATAAAAGCAGTTTGCCCAAGTCACGTACTTGGCGATGTCATCACTTTTCAGCCCGGGATATAAGTCAAGCCGAAAACAAAACTGAATCGTTGGCCAAATTAAATCTTCCGCTAGCATTACCGTTTGGTACCGCTATACTTGAAGACACCATTTTATTTTGTTTCCTAGTGAATAGGTGCACGACTATCTTACCACCAAAAGGCGGTAAATAATGGTGGAGATAAACCGCGATGCAATAAGCGTCGATTACTATTTGGCGCTATGCACTGACCCTAAAGAGGGGTAGATGTTAAGCCATTTTCAGTGGCTAGTTATACTAGCAGTTTTCGCGTGTTTTGATTGGCCCCTGTAACTTCCGAGGGTCTTATATCCAAGGAGGCTTAAAATCGGAATAGAAAATGAGTTTTTAAACACGCTATAGCGGTGCTGATCAAAATACAATTTGCATTTACTGGTTTTATATTAAGCTAAAAAACTTCATTGATAATAAATAGATTTCACAGGAAGCTTATAATTGGTGCTAGAGGGGGGCTTATATTCGAGGAGACGTATAATAGCATGTATAGAAAGATTGGTCTATAATTGGGGGCCTTATAAGCGGCGGGGGGGGGGGCTTATAACCGGCTGTTACGGTATGTGAGTTTTTTTAGCCAGGCTCCTTAACCTAATGACAGACCGGGTTCAAGTATTATAAGAAGAGACCTCGTCTTTGGGCGTTCGAATTGCACGACTTAGTTGACTAGAAAATAGGAATGAAATGTATTAAAAAGTTTTATCCATTCTCATTTCTTGTTGTGCTATTTAAAGGCTGTTTTTTTTGTGTGCCCGATTTCAATAGAAAATATATGACGATGCAACAGATCATTTTAATGTATCCGATTTTTGACCAGTTTATATCTTTTCGTTTTTCTTTCGAAAAATCATAGCGTAAAAACCGCCTTAAAGCTCGCCAGTTACAAGAGCAAGTTTTCTTCAACAAGGAAAACTTTAGGGGCACCCAACGACTGTTTTCTGTAAAATATCTGTTCGGATTTTTTTTACTTCAGGGCGGCAAAAAATTTCTAGATGACCGTTCCATTCACGTACAATTTTGGAAGCTTATCTAACTTATAAATTCCCCAAGATTTTCTGCTACAGCAAAAATAAAAACGAAGACGATGCACTCTCTTTTTGACTGACTCTAGATCGTAATAGCCGGGGAGGCTACTCAACACAGTTTTATACGGGGAGGCTTCGCCCCGAGGACTAACCCCTTAACCCTGCACTTACCATTTTTGACAGAAAACATACCCTTTTGTACACCTTCTATTGGCCGTATTTAAAATAGAGACGGATTATCCGCCTGAGACGGGTTATCCGGTGGAAAGTTCGCGTCAGGCAGATAATCGTCTTATATGATTGCACTTTTAAGCCTTCGTCTTCAATTATGGGCCCATATCATGGCTGTAAACGAAAAAAATACATCCGAATATAATCCCCACCGGGTATAATAAACTCCCCTCTTGCATAAACTGAATTGAATTCGATTTACAATGACGTTTTGAAGCCTTAATTAACGAGCAGTAAATGCAAAAACATATATTTTGATCAGCAATGCTACAAGTTATTTCGAAGCGCTTTTTCTATGCCATCAATACGTCCCCTCGGAAATTAAAAGCCCCTCCGTTTATACGCCTTCCTAAAACCAATTAAGAAGATGTACATCTATAATCCATGGGCTTATAAGCGACAATTTATGGTAGGGGACCGTTCACATATCTAGTACCAACACAATGTCTTTTGTCATTTTCATGTAGCGTTTAATTTGATTCAATGAATTTTAACTTTAATTTTAATTTCAAAGGCTGTGACATTGCCAAATTTGAAAGTGATACGTCTTAAGCTTGCAAAGAGTTGCGAAAATTTACATACGTTTGTACGTGTGCGGGTGGGAGGGGGAGAACAAGTTTGTGCCCGTCCCCTACCGTCAGGCAAACGCCTGTAAAATTTCCCGACTCTGAGGAGCTATATCTTCGTTAATTCGTTTTCAACAAATCACTTCCAAAACTTGGCAGTTTTACTCATTTTAAAACGTACTTTCCGGGGGTTTCCTTAGCTTGTCCTTGTCAAAAGTTGAAAAAAAAAATGGTATGGTCTATCCTGAAATGGGTGCACTTCTGGGTTGCGCCTCCCAGTATAGGTCATTATAGGGGGCCCCTCAACGCTCCCCCCCCCCCCACCCCTTTCAAGGTATAAGACGTGAGAGTTTAAAAATGGACACACTAACACTAGACACGTTAAGGCTTGTTTAGCTGGAGCTTAGTGGAGCCGCTACTTTTTCTGACCGTCAGTAGCATACCCAACTTGGACTGAAGGCAAATTCATGATTATTTTTGACGCACTAAAGAGGAAAGGCATGGGGTACAGTTAGAAGCACAAAATCGTGATAGCATGCATAAAACTTTGTTGTTTTCGTAACAATTTATATTCTGCCATTTATTTTTGGAATGTTCATCTTTTGACCCTGTTTCAGTATCTTGAAGCCAGATTATAAACAAGAATAAGAAGAGCCAACAAATCGCCATAAAAGGAAAAAGAAACAAGCAAAAACAAAGTAACAAACAATACACCGGAACAGAGGATTTACTGAAAATATTTTCTATAAAATGATGAGCACGTAGCACTGATTTCAGAAAACGCTGTGTTCTCGTTCAACTCTCACCGCCATGGTTCAGAATTTCGCTGTTTTCCTGATTCTTTCTCTTTTTGGCGGCTCACTGGGAACAACCACCTCACCTCAGCAACAAACTGACGCCTCAAAATTACAAGACTTATGCCAGGTAAGAAATGCATAAAGATGTAAAAAGGACTACTGCGCCCTAGATTAGGTACACCCAGAAAGCGTTTTATTACTCTCACGTCGTTATGATCATTTATTAAAAAGTACCCGTTAAAAGTTTATGGCAGTTTATTTAAAAGTCCTCGCTTCAGCATGATCTTTCCTCGAAAACCTGAAGCCTGTCCATTGTTAATTGTTAATTTTCTCTGATTCCATCCACAATTCGAGACGAGATAACGATTTAAGAGGATTATGATATTCAAGGTTCATTCCGTGCCTTGAAAACAAGGGAGACGGCTGGCGGGTATAGACTTCGTCCATTTTGGTTCGGAATCATTGTTTGCGTGACAGCCACAGGCGTGTATGAACGTATTTATCGTTTCAATTCCAAATGAGAAGGAAATATAAATAATTACGCGAATTATTTTTCGTTGCTGTTCTAAATTAATCTAAGTAACTATGACATGCATAATTTCTTCGAGACAAGGTCTGAAAACTGGTATGGATTTTAGAGGCCAAGTCTGAAAACGGGTTTAAAAATGACATGATTTGGTCTGAAATAGAGTCAGGATTTGGAGAACCGGGTGGCACACCACCACCGCCAAGAATTCCTAGGAGTATCCCCCGCCTCGAGTTATCTAAGATCCCGTTTCGTCTTCGTCTCTGCTAAGTGCAGGTCATCTTTTTTTCAACTTCAGCGATCTATGCTGGGTTTCCCTGGTATTCCTGGACCAAATGGTATACCGGGAGTGCCGGGAGTGCCGGGCGTCCCGGGGCCACACGGACCCCAGGGAAGAGAAGGTGTAAAAGGACAAATTGGTGATAAAGGATCGGATGGAATGCCGGGTCCAAGAGGAGACAGAGGGCGCGAAGGACCCCCTGGGAAGAGTGGACCACGAGGAATTCAGGGAATGAAAGGACAGCGCGGAGCTGTGGGAATTAAAGGAGAGCGAGGAATTGTGGGAAATCAAGGAAGAAAAGGAGACAAAGGAGAAAGCGCCAAAGCAAGTCAAGCAAGTGTAGTACCACAAACCAACTGGAAACAATGTGTGTGGAAATCATACAGCGACACTGATAACGGAAAGATTAAGGTAATTAGAATAAGAATCATTAATAACACACTCCAAAAAAAATTTATTCCTTTCTAAATCAAAATAATTCAAAGAAGAACGTCTCCCCTCTTACTTACCGTTTGCCAACACATTACATAAAGAACTAAGTTACATCTCCCTCCACTTTGGTTCTTTTTGAAAGAAAGAAAGAAAGAAAGAAAGAAAGAAAGAAAGAAAGAAAGAAAAAACATCGTGCGTGTTAAAATGATTCCTGGCCATGTGGATAAGGACAACAACAATTGAAGTTATTACATAGTTTTTAAAAAATTAGAAAGTATTCTTGACTGGAGTAGTTAATATCAATCATTACACTTGGTTACTCGCCTTACTACAATATGTTTGATTTGTTTGATTTTATTCCAGGACTGTGCGTTTAACAAACTGCAGTCTAATTCAGCGCTCAGAGTCTCATTCCAGGGCAACATGAGGGTCCAGGGTAACGACAAGTGCAATCGCTGGTATTTCAAGTTCAATGGAAATGAATGCAGTGGACCAATGACGATTGAGGCTGCTGTTTACAACAACTGGTCATCTGGGAACCCTAATCTGCTGCATCATCGGTCATTTGAGGGGTACTGTGAAAACATCTCACAAGGGGCGGTCAGAGTGGAATTATGGGTAGGACAGTGCAGTGGCAACAACCTGGGTAATGCTTACACTGGGTGGAATTCAGTGTCCCTGATAATGATTGAAGAAGTTTCTAGGCCCCAGTCCTAATAAGGGGATTCTTGAACTTTGGCGCTGTTTTAATTTTCTTAGAATAGCATTCTACAAATATAGACTGTAAAGCGTAAGGTGCGAAAGTATTGTTTTTGGTTATTTTCTGTTTAGCCCTTTGTGGCTACCTTCGTCATATTAGATTACTGATAGTAAACTCCAGGAGCCAAGGCTCCTGTAAACTCTTATAGCTGTATTAATATTTTGCACAATTATGCAAGCATGTTAGTCTCCTATTCATGCATCTTTATGCCGCAGCTATTTGTTTTGTAACGCAGCGCTTTTTAGCTTCTTTTTGGGGAGGCACCTTTCGTGACGACACAATAATGGGCTGAGCGCGTAGGGAATTGGTCCCTGAAGCACCGTTTTTTCTCGTCACGCAACGCTCTTTCCCGTGGCGTGAGGATACAAAAATTGCTGTGATGGAGAGCGATTGATTGGCAATGCTTTTTAAAGGTGATATGTTGTGGATGCAAAATATATCACTACCGCTTCAGGGGAACACCCATTCTCTCTTGGGTTACCATGAATATCACCAGATTGCCGTTCATTTCGTTAAGATTTTAAATTCATTAAAGCAAACATCCTGATATAATCTTTCATCTGAAAAAAATATTTTAGAAATCTTTAATTAAATCGCGCCTTAAGCACGATTCCTTTTGTAGCTGAACACTTTGAGGCAAAACCTCAGAAACCTTTATTAAAATCGGATAAGAATTTTGAGAATTAAAATCTCACCTAGTAAAATTTATAAAAATTAGCTGGAAAGATAAAAATATGATAATATATAGGATAACTTGATTATCGGTAGCCTGCGTGGCAAGTTGTATGGATATACTCGGTCTTGGATACCCATACATCAAGTGATAGGAAGTTAAGTTATGCCGGACCATCGCAGTACGAACTTCGTCAAGGGAACAGTTTTCTTTTATTTAGCAAAACTTTTATTGCTTTGTAGGGTTTCATATACCATAAATTTCACGATTTTATCTCTTCCTGTGTTTTTGATGGTTTCCTTAAAAAAAAAAAAAATTACTGTTACTTTTATCATAGCCTGATACCAACATCGTCCTTGGAGAGCAATCTTTTCTACCATATCCTAACGGAAAAACTAGTCGAACTAATAAAAGGTTAGAATAGCAAGAAAGCAGTGCACCACGATAAAAGAGTACCAATGTATAATAAATGTAGACCCTGCACCGACCCATAGGAGCTCCTCTGATTTTATATCTCGGTCGGATGAAACAAAGTAGGATATAGTCACCTTTGCCCAATAAGGATACACCTAAAATAAAGAAAAGAGCTAATCATGGGCGTCAAACTACGTGACTTCTAAACCCAAGGCTTCTTTCAGTATAAACATACACGTACTACACGTAGATAGTGACCATTGCATGCAAACCAGCTTTTACAAAACCAAAGAAGTATCATCGAATTTCGTTAGTCACCTAACCCAAAACTATAGTTTTATAATAAATGACTATAACAAGTAAATTAACTGTCCTAAATTAATAGAGAAAAATCAGTTTGCGTAAGTTATGTGCTCGATGACGTCTTCAGCTATCAGCCTGAGAGATAAGTCAAGCTGAAAACAAAACTGAATCATTAATTTGGCCACATTTAATTTTCCGCAAGGATTAAGACGTTTGGTACCGCTATACCTTTTGCAGAAAGGAAAAAAAAAAGACGCCATTTTATTTTGTTTCTTATAGTGAATAGGTACACAACTATCTATCGAAGAGAAGGTAATTATATAAATAATGGTGTAGGTAAGACGCGACACAAAGCGTCCTGGCTTTGTAGCGCTATGCACCGACCCTGAGGACGAGCTAGTAGATGTTTAGCCATTATTTTCGGTGATTAGCAATATTCGCATGGATTGATTGGCTCCCGTAAACTGGGAACATTCCTTAGCTATGCACTGTTTTAGGACGGGCGTCAAAATGGGCTGCCTTTTCGCGACAACCAGCATATACCAAGAAAGAGAGGAGAGTTGGTCTATTTTGTTTCTTGGAAATTAGACTTGATTTACAGTAACCTGACCCTACCCTGTTTAAGACAAAGATACATTATTTTATGACCCTAACTCATTTCGTTTCGCAAACAAAATTGAGCATTTTTTTTAAACGAACATCGGGTAATTCTAAAAAAGGATTATTCATAGCACAAAAGTAGGCCCAACTTTCGCACTCTTTAAAAGGCATCCGGTCCAAAAATTCACTTTGTTAACGACGCTAAATAGTGAATTAGTTGACCCTGTTTGATACTCACTGGCGAGACCTTAAAACCAACTTCCTGTTGTTCAGTGGCACGTAACCTTTTAGGCTAAAGAAGTAAGGGAATCCCCCCGGGTCTTCAACTGAATTTGAATTGGCCATTTTCCAAAGGGATGACAATTGGTTATTTATAAAAACGGGTGTAGTTTTGCATGCTTCTTGTTCTAGCCTGTAAAAAAGGTGTTATTTACTTATTTTTGTTTGTTTCTGATTTTTGCTTTTGCTCGTGGACAAAGGTAGGCAAGAGGCGATCATCTGAGGACGCTTCATTTTGAAGCAAAAAATAGATCTGCTGACAAAAAAATTAGAAGACAAAAAGGCTTTTTGATTCGGATTATAAAGAAACATCCTCTGGTTTGCCGACATGTTTACTTAATGAGATTATGTGACATTTTGTTTGCCCTAAGCTTTCGTAATGATCTTTCTTGTCTTGTGCCTTTAAATAAATTAAGAGTAGATTCGTTTTTTAGCAGATAATCGGTCTTGGCGATACTACCATCTGAAGTAACATAATAAATTTAATTCTTGGGCGTTACTTAGCGAAATACGACTTGCCGAAGCCGAAGGCCGAAGAAAAGAATTGACCTGTGAGACACTCCAACAAATGACTATATTTTGCCGTGATGATAGGGTTCAATAATTTTTTATCATTCTATATGCAGTCGAAGCTCTGCTCGCATCCTCTTCCGTAAGCAAGAGGCGACCATGCAGTTTACGGTAACAACCAGGTAACTCGAACTCTGAAGGGAAACCGCGAAAAGCAGTTCGAGTTAGAAGGGAATTTGACCTATCAGGGTAAATTTCAGTAAAATTTTGATCAAGGGAAAGGAAATTTAGTTCGCGTTAGTGAAGAATTGTAGTCATCCGAATCAAAAATCGAGGTTATACTGACTGTATAAAATGAATGATTCTGGGTTAGAATGTATTACCAACCAGTGCACCCCTTAACAAGCATCATGCATAACTGAATATTCTCTACGCATTTTGCGGTTAACCAGTCAGTGGAGATCCTGCTGAATACATTACATGGGAAGTACTTGCGCATTTGATCATATCTTTTAATGTTAAAATGCGCAATAAAAGTAATAAATATTATTTAGTACTTTTAAGTACCTTTAAAAGGGTGAAGAAAACCTGGGGGGAATGAAGAACGGGATACCACAAATTCAAGCGTTTTGCCCTTGACGCAGGTTTGGGCGATCAAGTGAGAAAAGGAGAAGTGGAGATACAACGTTCTGCATGTTGATATTATTCAGCATTTTAATAGTGAGCTTACTGCGCTTTTCGCAAACATGCGAATTCTGAAGTTCAAAAGCCGCCTTCACAATTCCGTTTTTCACTGCCGTCAATCATCTTAACGGACCTCTTAGGAAACAAAACTTTACTTTAACGGGTTCAAAAGGTCATGGTTTGTGATTTGTGATTAGTGAATTTCGATCCATTTCGTGTGTTTGTGTGTTTCAAGGCTCATTGCTTGTGATCGTAATTATGATTGACGGCAGTGAAAAACGCAGTTGTGAAGGCGGCTTTTGAACTTTAGAGTTCGCATGTTTGTGAAAAGCGCAGTAAAAGACGTTTTGAGCCGGACTCACGTCAACGGAAACTGCGCGTTTTGCATCCGCCGGCTTGGGCAGTATTCTGCCGAGCAGTATATATGATGCCCAAATTTTCGGGAAAGGCGTTCTATTAGGACTATTAGTAATAGAAATTTGACGTGCGTCGAACGCCTTTGCTTGAGCTCCCTATTAAAAGAAGAAACGAAGAGACAATGTTGAGCCAAAATTAAAAAAAAGGAAAATGGACGGTCGGCACCAGGTCACAATGCTAATGGGAATGGTTAGAAAGGATGTCAGAAACTTTGCATTGGCTGTAAAACAATGCTGAAGCAGGGACATTAATTAAAAGAACGTCTATTCGCGTTGGCCGTTTTGAAAAATAACGAGTAAAAAATACAAAATAATGGTAAGTCTTGTTTTAAGTTCACCATCGACCACAACTAACCAACAATGGTTTCTGCAACCACAATAACAATTTGCATTTCTAGCTTTTATCTAAAACCAAGGGTGTTATCACTCACGTTCAAAGTTTTGTTTTTATGAATTTTAAAAACAAACTCGCACAAAAAACATAAACACACTATGAATCAATTTTGGTTTGGTGACAACCAAGGCCAAATTTTTGCGTTGTTAGCTCGTTTTTTAAATTCGTCGTTTACACGTCGTTTTCTGTTCTCTAGCTTAGAATCAGTGGTTAAATGAAACGTAGTCTTTGTGTACACTACAGTTTTTGTCGTTCTGTTTACGCCCTAACGTTCTAGTAAACTATAAATGAACCGGTCGGCTGCTAAGACAGTCGTTGATTTTAGTTTCTTCTATTCTGATTTGATGTTCACAGTTTATCGGTTGGCTTCGGTTCATCCGATTAGTTCTTTAAAAGAATTAACGCAGTTTACTTGTTTCGCCAAAACAAGGAAGGATTAGGTATAATATATGTCGCAAAGATAAGACAGATCGATGTAAAAGTCGCTGTTTAATTTTAATGAATCTGGGAATGCCAGCATCGATAATCAGAATGCCGTTTCTTTCTCTTTCTTTCTATTTCTTAAAAAAAGTTTCAATTGAAAGAGAAGGCTAGGAAAAGTTTCATTCAAAGGTACTTCCCTTTGCCAGTTCAAATCACAACAACGAAGAAACCAATTAAAGATGAAAGAATCAGTATTGCCCA